ATATATATATATATACTCGCGAATTACTTGCAAAGTTTTCATCGTACAGTTCACATCTTGCGCGAAGATGGAAGTAAAGCGTCACAAGACGAACTTGGACGAATCGCGATAAAGTTGCCGTTACCGCCTGGATTTATGTCGACCCTTTATCGAACACCCGAAAGATTTAAAGAAATATATTTCTCGACATTTCCGGTAAGCTGATTAATAATAATACTTTATTATACACAAACTGGACTAATAATTATAGGTAAGCATATTTCATGTATACATAAATTATACATATATATATATATATTCTCTCTCTTAACATATTCGTTATTTATTTACTTCTTTCGTATGTAAAAGAGAGAAAGAAATAGAAGAATTCTAAAGTTCACACAAATTATCCGTTCAATTCTAATCAAGTAATAAAGCCTCGAAGCTGATAAAAATACAGTTGCGGAATCATATCTATTAAAATTATCTATCTTTATGTTTTTTTCTCTCAACATTGGATTAACATATTCTAATAATTGTGCTTCATTTCCTTTCACGTATGTTTGATTACATTTTGATTGATGCTTTTTGCGAAGAAAGCTCTTTCTGAATTTTAATTATGATTTGATATATATATATATACTCGCGAATTACTTGCAAAGTTTTCATCGTACAGTTCACATCTTGCGCGAAGATGGAAGTAAAGCGTCACAAGACGAACTTGGACGAATCGCGATAAAGTTGCCGTTACCGCCTGGATTTATGTCGACCCTTTATCGAACACCCGAAAGATTTAAAGAAATATATTTCTCGACATTTCCGGTAAGCTGATTAATAATAATACTTTATTATACACAAACTGGACTAATAATTATAGGTAAGCATATTTCATGTATACATAAATTATACATATATATATATATATTCTCTCTCTTAACATATTCGTTATTTATTTACTTCTTTCGTATGTAAAAGAGAGAAAGAAATAGAAGAATTCTAAAGTTCACACAAATTATCCGTTCAATTCTAATCAAGTAATAAAGCCTCGAAGCTGATAAAAATACAGTTGCGGAATCATATCTATTAAAATTATCTATCTTTATGTTTTTTTCTCTCAACATTGGATTAACATATTCTAATAATTGTGCTTCATTTCCTTTCACGTATGTTTGATTACATTTTGATTGATGCTTTTTGCGAAGAAAGCTCTTTCTGAATTTTAATTATGATTTGAATAAAGTCAATTTTCTTGGCGATTTTAATCGTTCATAATTGTTGATAAAATTACAATTTCCTTAAATTAAAAATTTTCGTGCGCGCGAACGATCAAATAGTAGTTTATTTATTTATTTCTGAACAAATCGAAAAAAAAAAATTATCGAACCAATGATTTTTTAAGAAAAAGGTATATAAAGATATACATATATAAAAACATGTTTTGATTACAGAAGAGTGTTTCAATGACTTTAACGTTATTCTTATATGTCAGTATTTTATTCAAACACTAGACATATTCAACAATTATTTTGCATAGCACAAAATATATATATATATATGTATGTGTACGTGCGTGTATAATATATTAATTATTAATAAATATTTATAACTATCTAATTAAATCTGGATATTTTTATCAAAGAAAAATTAAAATCGAGATTTTTGATTTTCTTAATTGCAGGGTTACTATGACACTATGGATGCCGGCTACATCGACGAGTTCGGTTATGTTTACGTGACAGCGAGGGACGATGACATTATAAATGTTGCAGGTCACAGAATATCAACAGCTGCGCTGGAAGATATTATCCTTGCTCATCCCGATATTGTCGAAGCCATAGTTGTCGGAGTACCGGATCATACGAAGGGAGAAGTACCGCTGTGTCTTTACATTAAACGAGATGGTTCGTAATAATCTCAAATATTTATTTGCTTTTTTTAAAAGAAACATTATTTTTAACAATATTTATCAATATCCGCGTCAAATTCTTACGCGTATATGTTTCGATATATTAAAAATTATTTGCTATCTCTCTCACACAGACTTTTATATATTATACCAATATAATTGTATATAGAAGTCTGTGTTCGCTATTTAATGATTTTTCAAAAATATTAATCTTATCAATCTAAAATCTTCTGAAGGCAGAAACAGTAATAATTTAAGCCAATTCCTTTGTGTTATTTAATTACTTCTTTATATTATATAATTAGTTTTTTTAATGTATTATTTTTTAAAAAAATCAAAAAATATAAAAAGAAGTTACGCTATATATTATTGTTATATACAATTTCACTAATCTTGCGATTAGAAAATTGCAATAAAGTACTTTTTCTTTTAGACGCGATAAGCAACGAGGAGGAGATAAATCAAGAGCTGATTGCGCGAGTGAGAAGCATGATAGGCCCGATCGCGTCTTTCCGGGTCGCCGCCGCCGTTACCGCGTTACCTAAAACGCGCTCGGGAAAATTAATCCGCAAATCTGTTGCTACATTGGCGCGATCGAAACCGTTCAAGGTAGGATTCGAATATTACAGGAGAGAGTCTACTTTTCGAATCTCTTCGGTATACCCGCCGAATTCTTGAGCGAGAACGAGAGCATCTCGAAACGTTGGTCGAGACGATCGAGAGATAAACGTACTATTGTCATTTCTGTTTTGTTACAATTTAATATACTCTTTGTGTGATCGTGCTCTTTATTATTTTATTATTTCAAAATAATACGAGGTAGAATTCAAGTATTATTGTGGGCGCTTCTCTTTTTCGAATCTCAACGCGAGTTGCTTCCCGCCAAACCGAGAGACGCATATATCTCGATAATCGAAACTTGATTGAGATGATCGAGAGATAAATGTATTATATCTGTTATAGCTCTTTTTTTATTACAGTTTAATATATTCCTCCCTCTCTCTCTCTTAATTGTGCTTTTATTTTCAGAATTAGTCGACATTCTGCGCGCGGGAATAGATTTACTTTATGTCACTAACCTTTTTCGGTGTTTTTCAGCAACATTATCAGCAACGAGCATCCTGTCAACTTGTTTAATTTTCAGATTCCAAGCACGATCGAAGATCCAACAGTATTCCGCGAAATGAAGGAGATACTTCAAAAGCTTGGATACACGAAACTGGCCTCGGATCCACAATAATATCATTTCGAAAGAATTCTTACACAAGAAAATTTTAACGGCGCTGTTTAAAAGAAAATAACTATGGCGGTCAACTTCATAGAAATAGAACGCATCGTGATTGTGTGCAATGTTCACTCGTCAAGTTTGTTCTTTCTAATTGCGCTATGTTGTTGTTATAATAATTAATATTAATTATTTTGTAGTAGCGAAAAGAGATTATCTTAAATGCACAGTTGTACAGAAGTTAAGAAATTTTTTTTCCTTGGATACTGGTTTAAAAAGTATTTGTGAAATACATATTAATATGTCACATTGCTTTCTTGTATATATTCGTGTCTTATTATACATCTGTGTGAGGGATCAGGAATTTTAATAAGTTAAAAATAATGAAGATTATATATTTTTCTCTCATTTAAATTAGAAAATATTGAGAAATGAAATAAACACGGACGTATTCGTGCGTCTTGAATATCTGTAAAACCCACATGTGCTATACTTTATTCCATTGGCTCGAATATAAAAAATCCGTCATATTGCGAGATGTATACGACGGATATACATCCACGTCCCTATTAAAATTATCAGGGCACATTTTTTTGCAAATTTGTTTTTAATGACAATATAATAAGAAACAGTATAATAATAATTGTAATAATATTAATTTTATAATTATAAATTGTTGTGTAACACTATCTTGTTGATTTATTCAATAAATTTCTTTTCCAACTCTTACCACCACTTTAATAATTATTATTTTTAATATTATATAATAATATTAATCATATTTCCTTAATGTTAATCCGTAATCGATATCGATCGCCTACTTTACTCCCATTTATGTGTGTCGCACCTCAGAAGAATAAAAATATCGTGGTTTTTTCTTTTTATTATCAAGGAGACATGGTTAAATTATTTGATCATTATCCATTTATAATTATTTCAATGCAAGTGCCATCATTCAGCTTATCTAATAAAAGGAACACACGCTCTTGAGTTTCGATTGTGTATGTCTCCTTATCTATATAAATCGAATCTATTTGCTCTTATATATATATCAGGCTATAAATATTTTTCCCTTCTTCCCCCCCCCTCCCCCCTAACCCCTGCTTGTTGCGCCGTAGCACGCGGACGCACGTATAGCTCTGCGATACATAAGTGAGTTGTGTGTTTATATGTTACATTATTACTAATCCGCCAAAATTTCATCATGCCCGTTTGGTTTGCTTAATATCGTGTGTTCGCCTTGCATCGTCATATATTTGTCACATTGAAATAATGATCATTTTCTTTTATTATTAATCTGTGTCATAACATTTAAGCAAGATTTTTTTACTCGACGACCTTCAGCACCTTGCCAATTGCGATAGTTTTATCTGAAATTGTACATATATATATTATCGTAATCAAGACGCAAACAAGATATATATATATATATAACAATAATAGAGAGAATATATTAGATTAAAACGTTACTTACTTTCATCCCTAAGAGTAAAGCGACCCATTTGTTGGAATAACTTGAATCTTTCGAGACATATAACTCCCGCGCACTCGATTCTCATTATAGCCACTTGGTCCTGCTTGACGAACCTTGGCCTCGTCTTGCTTTTATCGCCTGTTTTCTTGTCAACCAAACAGATTAGCGCCTTTACCGTGACTTCCTCCGCAGCGCAATGAATATGCATAACAGCACTGTATCCCGCGCAAATAATACTCTTGTGTTCTAGAATCACCACTTGCGCGTCGAAGACTTTTCCGGTTTTGATAGGATTATTACTGTCGCATAAGACGAATCCGGGACTAACATCTTCTTCTTCGATACCTTTCAGCTTAATCTTCACATTTTCTCCAGGTCCAACGGACGTTACTTCCTCGTCATCCGACCACAATTGATCTACCGTTACTGCCGTCTGTGAATTTAAAACAGAATATTTTTATAAATATATATATATGTCATTCTACAAAATACAAAATGTAAAGCAATCATTTTCTTAAAATATCACAGAAAAAAAAGAATATCAAAACTTTTCTGCATTAGATTGATGCAAAAGATTCATTATATTTATCAAATAAAACCAGAAATAACATCATAGAGTTTCAATGTAATTTTTATTAATCAAGATAATCATTACATTGACTTTCATATCATTTCCATCTAGCAAAGTTTTTTAATTCCTTTGTTAAGAAACTTCATTCAAATTTTTAACTTTGTTTCAAATAAAAAAAACTTAATAAAAAAACCACATATCTTTTCGCATTAATCTAACATAATTCATAATACAAAATAGTATAAATTTAGTTCCATGAACAAAAGTGATACGTACCCTATTTGGCATAACAAGCAATGACTGTCCTTTTTTGGCTTCTCCTGCTTCAACTTTACCCATAACTACTGTTCCCATATCCTTATATTTATCGACAATTGGCATGATAAAAGGTCCATTGCTCTTACGATTAAGCGATGGTAGCGAATCAATAAAAGGTATGAATGGTGGACCGCTGTACCAATTACAAAGATGTTCAGGTATTGGATCCTTTAAACCAATGCCAAGTTGACCAGAGACTGGCATAAATGTAAGATCTTTTGCAGGATTGAATCCTAATTTACGAAGATATGGCAGTATCTTATCCCTGTAACATATATTTATTACAATATTTTTTTATTCAAACATATATATATATATATATAGACAAATATATATATAAAATGTTACTGTTAATTGTCAGAAGATGCATAAAGTATACTTTACTAAAAGAAAAAGAAAAATTTTGATACTTTGCATATATAATTGTTCTGGTAAAAAATATTATTTTAAATTTAATTAATGTTCGAAAATTGAATCTTTCTAATTATATTCCAATATGATTCGTTTATTATTTTTTAATATACCTAAATTTTGCACATTTTCGATATATACCTGCATTCATTGTATCGCCCTTCATCCCATTCAACAGTGGGATCATCCATCTTATTAACTAATACAACCAGGTGCTTGACACCCGCAGTTTTAGCAAGCATAGCATGCTCTCTCGTTTGTCCTCCTCTATCGAATCCCGTCTCAAACTCGCCCTTTCTCGCAGAAATAACAAGGACTGCTAAATCGGCTTGTGCCGCACCACCAATCATATTAGGTACGAAGCTTTTATGGCCAGGTGCATCTAATATTGTAAAATGCTTTCGTTCTGTTTCGAAGTAGGCTCTACCGACTTCAACAGTTTTTCCCTTTTCCCTTTCTTCTTGATTCGTGTCCAGCGCCCAACTTAAGTACCATGTTTCTCGACTTCTTTCTTTTGCCTCTCGCTCATATTTCTCTAAGGTACGTTTGTCGACCATCCCCGTAAGCGCCATAATCTGACCTCCAATAGTTGATTTTCCAGCATCTGTGACACACCAAAGACATATTATCTAGCAATCGATAACTCTATTTTAAAGATGCATCAAATAAAGTTATTCTATAATTACACATTACTTATGTACAAATTTACTACTCACCTACGTGCCCTATGAAAACAACATTAACATGTTCCTTTTTGCTTTTAGTATCTTCCGCTACTTTGATAGGTTTCTTTTTGGGTACTTTAACAACCAGTTCTTCATCCTCTTCATTATCAGCCTAGAGTATCAAAAATGATATCCTGTCAAAAGTTAAGCTAAAATCGATACAGAATTGGCTAAACAACTTGCAAATGTAATTGAACTAGAAACATCCTGTAATAATACAAAAACATACTACTGAAGCAGTATGTGTTCAAGCATTTAGCCAAATTTATACTTACTTCTTCATTTTCAGGTGTAAGTAAAGGATCACCGTCGACTGCTGCTTCTTCCCAAGAATCTGCAGGCTGATGTTCTGGACTGGTATTTAGTTGGTCGTTAACATTCGGTGGTGGAGCCCCTCCCCCAGCAGGAGGTTCCTCAACTCGACTGCCAATTGGATCTGATAAAACAACGGGAGTAGAATTTCCTGTAAAAAAAAACAAAGAAACATGTGCAGAAAAATTGAGATAATACAAAATAATATATATAGACATTTAGGTTTTTGAATTCTGAAAAATAACAGAGAGAGAGAGAGAGATTACAATGAACATAAAGTTATCAATAAGTCATCTCATGATATAACATGCGCATCAATCACATTATAAGAAATATTTTATCTCGATAAGTTATTTACATTTGTAAATTGTATTATTCATAACAATTTTCTTTTAAGAAATTAATTACTTTACAATTGATTTTATTAATTTTATTATCTTATTTAAGCCAAATATTTGTAGTCTTGTACAGAATGGATAAAGTAAAATAGCTAAAGCTAAAAAAATGAATAATTTTTATATTATAATATTATAAATAATATAAAATTCCACATTAAACCGCAATATTTTTTGTCATACAGTTACAAAAGTCAACGAGGAAGATATCAATTTGACCTATACCTGCTCAATATTATATAGAATGTTCTTAAAAGTTTGGCCAAATTTTACCATGATAATATTTTACTGATCTTACTGATAGTAAATATAAATCAAACATAAATAAATAACAAATGGATTTTTCTTTTGCTCGATTCACAGATGTTGAACATTTTACATCAAAGTAAAAAAACATTCTCAACAAATATATTCTCAATTATATCAAATGTTTGAAATGATTATTTGAATGCTCATTGCCAATATAAAGCAGCGTAACATCATTACGCAGAACAATTATGATTAAATACCGAATAACAATAAGGTATCCAACAATAATCTTCTATTTCTTATTTTTTATTAATACAGTATGGTAACAAAGATACGTATTCAATTTCAATATTTGTGTACAAACCAGATCATATATGTAACGAATAATGTTACGATAAAGAAACAGTCGCAACCTATTGCAGGTTCTAGAACAGGAAATCTCCTCGTATATTAATCAAACCATATGGTATCTAAATGCAACATCTGGATACAGCATGGATACAGCATAGATACAGTGAAAAGGCATTGCATAAAATTGAACTGGGCAGAAATGTAAGAAGAAACGAATGAGATATTCTTTCTCGATGCACTTTATCGTGTAAAAGAGGCAGAGGCATGCCTCTGAGGCATGACTCAACGTTGGGACGACAAGGGGGTTAGTTGCGGAGGAGCTGTGCGCGCGAGAATCATAACAATGATAATCGCGGCGCAGGTCGCGAGATTGTCCACAGTTTCCATCGTGGGACGTCGAAGGGGGACAAATTATCCATCTGGAGAACTAACCATGATGTATCTCGACGGGCATGGAGGTGGTGGTTACGGTATTCATCACCGCGGCGGCGACATTGCAGGGGCTGCTGTCGGCTGCTGTCGTCGCTGTGTTGCTCTGCGGCGACGAGCTGATGCAGAAGGAAGGCACGAATTCCGCAGCGTTGACGTTCAAGGTGGAGAACTTACTCTCGATGGACTTGTCCTGCGGCGGGCCGACGATATCGCCGTTGGTGTCCGCCTGCTGTTCCCACGAGTCCGGTGCTATGCTGTTCGCCATATTAATCAGTTGTTTCGGCACACACGCAGCCGGGTACACAGCTAAAACGGACAACGGAATCCTGGATAACGGAATGGAGGGGACACGAGGGCCAACGCAAGTCGCACCGCACGCCGCGAACTGATCCGACACCGAGCTCGGGATGGGTTTAAAAAAATAGTTTTATTTGTGTCACAGCACACACTTCGGCGTATACACTCACCGCGTACACGCGCCGTATGATCGCTACTCCGCGTGCGTGCGTGCGTCCCCCGTGGTCTGCCTCGCTGCTACCGCACTCTCTCAGATGCCGGAACCAGCCGGAACTACCGTAATCGAAACATCGACTGTTCGGCGAGATTCGTCGAGAAGGCGCCGACGAGACGGACAGGAAGGACAGGCTAATATAATTGTGCGCGAAGCGCAAAATATTGCGAGGCAAATATTTTTCGCGAGATCCGTCTTGTCTCTCGTCTCTCGTCTTACGAACAACGTTCGTAACTTTCGAGGTCATGGTCATTGAAAAAGAATGTCTCTAGCGCTGCGCTCCTAGAGACATTTTGGGATCTTCCGAGAGAGAGAGAGATATGTAAAAAATCTTTTCTTTATATTCTCAAAAAAATAGTCAAAGGATTATCGGAATATATTTCGGCAAGAAATTATCCAAATTCGAATCTCGGAGCAAACATCTTCCGAATCTCTCCTAATATCGAAAAGTTGGTCGCGAAATTTGGATATATAACTCACTTTACTATGAATTATGTTTTTCTGGTGACACAGCTGATTTTTAGAGAGCGCATAATTCCGCGCCTACTTTGGAATTTCGATCGTATTATTTTCAACAGATCATATTTTTGCAATTGGTGCAAATTTTTAAAACACGAACGATACGACATCTAGCTATTAGTTTACCATAGATTTGGAAAAGTAACTATACAAAATAAATTGCCTTTCTCTCCGATGTGATTTAGTGTAATTTTACCGAACATACTTGTGTTTATATACGACTGATGGTTTTTGTGGTCTGAGAATTTGTTCGTGACCTCCTCTTCCTGATATCGACAAGACTGAACAAAATCGTCAAGATCATGGATTTATTGGGTTCCATTCTAAAATCCATGGATAAACCACCATCAGTGAACGACAAGCAGAAGGCGCTCATGAAAAGTCAGTTGAGTCCTAACCTAAAAATACGCAATTTACAAAAAAGACAAACAAACGATTTCGTCAAAAGCTTTAAGAATTTCGTTGGCTTATGTGAACTCATTTCGATTATGCAGAACAGCAAGAGGAATATCAGAAACGTCAGAGGGCCGAGGCGGAAAAGTTAAAAGTCTTTCGACAAAAGGTAGTCGTCCTAATTTCATTTTTCTCATATTTCTCAACTAATTACTCGGTTTTGTTTAACGCGATATTATTTTCATATCGTAGATTGAAGAAGAAATTAATAAGTTTCTACAGGATGACAATATGAAAGAACACAAATTTTCTGCCATGGACCAGATACACAGGAGCATTGTGTAGGTGCTAATGTATTATTTTGTGATTACATTTGAAAGAGACACATACATTGTGAAACTTTCTATATTATACATTTCTCTATCTTGGGCTTTCAGTCATGACGTAGCAGAAGTGGCAAGTGTTTTGGCATATTCCTTTGGCGAAGAAGGTGTCGACCGGTATATTATGATCTTTAAGAGGGAATATGCGCCTTCGGAGGATCAATTAAATACATTACGCAAAGGTGAAGAGTGGAATGAGGAAGTCGCGAAAAAGTTAAAGAAAGAAAGAGAGAATAAAGCCAAAGAGGAAGCAGAGTATTCAAAATCTAGAAAACGAAAGGAGAATTTTGTGCCTAACAGCTTCTACAAAGATAAATATCAACATCTGATTGGCAAGGAAGCTGCTCTCGAAGCTGCTAGAAAAACAGAAGCCAATAGCAGTTATGGATGTGGTGAGCATAAATATAAATATAAATTCAAATGTATATAGTGGATATCCTAACTCTTATAATCTTTACTGCAATCAAGAATCATTCAACACTTATTGTATGGGTGAAAAAAAAGATGAGACATGATAACATACAAATAATTTGAATAATAAATCAAATAATAGTTTGCGCTTGTGCAGTCAAAATTATAAAAGTTATTACAAGATTTAGATTTTTTACCTATGTGTATATATGTGAGAGACTCATCCCATACATATACAAATGCACTAGTAAAATTTGTCTTAAATTCTAGTTCCTAGTGAAAACAAAAAGGACCAAAGAAGTATAGAACAAACTCTTGCTGACATACGTGCTAAGAAAAGGAAATTGGAAACGAATAACAAAACTAGCAGTTGCAGCGACAACAGTACAAAATAGTGCTATTATATAAATAATCATAGGTATACATAAATTATCTATATCCAATTGATTGTAAATAATACAACACATTAGATGTTACAGTGTTATTACAGATTATTACATTATATGCATACCTAGAGAAATCGCATATGGTAACCTATTTTATTAAATTTCCGAATTTACTTGTTCGTTCAAGCATCTTACGAGTTCTATAATGGCATTACAATTAATGTATATCTGCATTAGAAGTGAAGCAACAAATCACTTCTATTTCATCTCATTATGATACATGTATCTACTACATTTAAGAAACTCGATTTCATATGTACAATATAATACATCAATCCACACATTACATACATATAATGTACGTATGTATGTACATACGGCGAATATTTTTTTTTTTATTCCTGACATTTTTCCTCACCTATAAATCAAGTGATTTAGCAACGTTTTTATTTCAGTTAAAGGTATTCTGTGGTGGAGTATTTAGGAACTGATGTTCTCGGAGCCGGTTTCGGTTTTGTAGGCGATAGAGATTCGAATACAATTTGTTCTTTCAGCGCAAGCAGCTTCGTAAATTTCTGATTTGTCACGGATTTGTACAGTTCCATTCCTCGGACGATAATAATGTCTCGCACATACGCTGCATTATTTTGTACTAACTTTCGCTGAAAAGGAATAAAATTTTGTAAAGCTATTACAACACCTATTTAAGTAATACAGTAACTTGATAGAAATAACGGTATTATGTTACCTCTTGCTTCAACTTTGGATCCGTAAGCGAGACAATCAAATGTTGAACTTCGACCCGCATCACAGATACAAGTGCGTTATCTATTGTAGACATAAGCTCGGGTATAGCTACGCTAAGGCAGTCTTCTAATAAACTGACATAAATCTTGGAGAAGGTTAATGTATTATGTGTCAGCGGTATCCAACAGTCATTTGTCGCGTACGACGACGGTATGCCAATACCAAGCTCGTCTAACTCCGATAATAGTTTCTGTAAATTCTGACTAGTTTCCAGATTTGTCGGTCGCCAAGTATCCTCCGCCACATGACGCTTCATTGTATTTATGCAACTCTCTCCTGTGTCTTGGATGGCTTTGGCTAATGGAGATCTGATTTGTCCATCTAACTGGTAACGAAAGTCCATGCCCAGCTGAGTTAACTGGAAATTGAATTGTTACAAACTCATATGTTGAAATTGTATTCATGTATGTAAATATACGTAACATACATAAATACACTTAATACCTGTATCTCTATTTTAATTTTTGAAGAATACGCACCTGATCGCAATGACCTCGAACAGCGACAATGCACTCTACCAATATACTTAGCGTGACTTGCGGTACAAAAAGCTGTTCAGCTAAGTGCGATGTTAAATGTTTCACCTCTTGGCTGCACCATACAATTAAACCTTAAATAGCAACGAGCAAATCAATTTGCAAATTAATCTATCATTTGTGATCAATACTATCAATATTATATATCTTTATTAATGTTAAATTACCAGAAGTACAGTTTGTAGATTGAGGAAAGGTTTTCAAGAATTCTCTCGCTATTTCCACTATATTGCTGAAGGCAATCGCGCTGAGTTGCTTTACATAAGCCACGGTTGTGCTTTCTCGTTTGATCCTCTTCAGTCGCGCCTTTAGCACTGCGCTGCATAATCGTAGATACAAGTGGCATGCTTGAGCACTCCTATTCAACTGTATCAGGAGCTTGACCGTACGTCGCGCGCTTCTCAAACCACCCCCTTGTAACGACCTTGCTTCGGCGTTCGATTCTAGTTCCTTGGTCAGCACATTCACCAAAGACCGACCTCTGTCGTTTACTTTCGTCTGGATTTCTGTCAGTAGCGGTATTGGTTGAGCATCCTTCAGATAGGCCTTTGCTTTCTCTAATAAACTGTAAGCCTCCTCAAAGTGTCGTTGCGCTATGCAGGAATCCAAATCCTCGGCCACTTCCAGCACCCACTCCGGAGGCGGTTCGTGATATTCCGAATCGTCGTCGTCGTCCATCCCTAACGAGAATTTGGATGAAAATCTTCAGAATTGAATAATTGTAAAGATGTTTGACGAGTAAAATATTGAAAAAAGAAAGTCAGATAGTTGATATAATCCAAAAGCAGGTGGAGGCAGAATGACACACGAGTAAAATAAATGCCAAAAGATTCGTTCGAAATACAAGAACGTTCTTCACATCTGCAAATCTCACCTAATGTATTAGAATCTAAAGACATCGAACGAGACGGCGCTGCTTTATCTTCTTTTGGATGTTTATCGTTATCTGGCGCGTTATCAGCCGAATTCTCCCCTGCTAGTTTTGCTCTTTTTGCTTGTTCGCACTTATCTAACCACTCTTTCTGTAAAATAAATAAATTCAAATAATTCCACTTTGTGTTTTAGGATTATTGTTTTTGAACACACTAACTTTACTTGTCGCTGTGGGGCACTGAAACACCCTTGTGTCGGAAAATGCCAACAGTTTGAAGGCTAGCTTAACTGTGCCATGATCCCTCACATTGACAATCGCCAGGCTTTCAAGATTATAAACTGCCTGCATTTTATATCTAGGCGGACCGCGCCTGCCGCCATTCGCCAGCCAAGATGCGACCATCAAAACGTCATTGAATAAATATGCGTGAATTCTCTTTAATGGTGTTCCTTCTACAGGGTCTAACTCAAGCAGAGAACCTTCATGTAAGCATACACGTCCTGGAGTTTCAGCTAAACTCTGTGAAACAAAAAAGAACAAATTTTTGTTCACATTTATAATATATATATCATTCATTAGATATAATGACCAACCAGAGCCCCTTCAACATTTTCAATCAATTGAATGAGTTTTTGTTTTTGTTCTTCTTCCTTAGACACAGAATTAGTTGAGTTCTCTTGTTGCGATTCAGACAAATCTTCAAAGACAACACCCGCTGTTCTTGTAGATCCTAGCATGCTCAACAAAGCACGTTGTTCGCTCAAAAGCTGCGACAATTGATACATCTCGCTTTCCAGATGCGAGATCTCCTTGGCAGTCTCGATAAACTGCATATAATTTTGATAGACATTTCGTTTCAATTGAGCAGATGTGTTATTTGCCAGTTCCTGTATTTTCGCACGCTGTTGCCTCAGTTCATCTGCACCAATACATTGTGCACTGAGTTCCTTCACAACTATAAATAAAAAGAATCGAATAAGTAAATATAACTAATTAATCGTCTTTTATGTATTTCAAAATCCATATTAAACTTCATAAAGATCTAATGAATCAATAAAACATTTACATGACATGTTAGAGACAGCACAAGAAAATTAATAAATTTTGAATATCGCCTGACAAGTCTCTTATGACTGAAAATAGATAATCCGGTCCTGTCATGTTTAATAAACTTATTGAAAAATCGAGAGATAAGATTGAAAGATAGAATTTTATATTCCTTGACGCGCTCGCGCGAGCGAAGTACGTGTGTGAAGTAACTCACATTCATCTGGGTTGAAGTCCTCGGCTGCGAAAATTTTCGCTAAATTATTATCAGCCATTGTAGAAGACATTCGTCTCTCTTCCTCTCTCTGCAGAGAAGCGCTTATTATTATTAATAATATAAGTTACGTGTTTTTGTCATGTTAAATTTCCATCGAATCCCTTCACGTCACTTGTCACGAATAAATCGACATGGTTTATACCATTTAACATGACACCTCCTCCGCCCTCCGCCTCGACCTAACCTGACCCAATCTTCGGTATTCTCTGCCAGCCACTATAAAGACGAAGCTGACAATGAGCTTGCTCGATAAAGTCAGCGCTCTTTAATTATCCTCAAGTCCATATGATAACCATTAGAATTTACCGATGTACGATTAGCACATGTTCATTTCACGGTTACCTTACAAATATGTCGGGATCAAATATCTACTTTCAACGAGACGCACCAGATGGTGTCGTCTCGTTACGTTTGTACGCGAATTTATTTATTTGCTTATTTATTATACTAAAATTCTCAAGTTCGTTGCAAAATTTATACTCAAACAATAATCGTCGATGCGAAAATAATTTTTGTAAGGTGTATCTTTATGTTGAATCGATATTTTCGGTAACTTATATTTGCAGTTTTTACACAGTCTTTCAGCTGGGAGTGTGGCGGCTCCTGTAATCCGGCTACTCGGAGGCTGGTTATGTAGGAGGGTCTGAGGTCGGGGGAACCTGCTGCTGCAGGGCTCACGTTGACTGGGCGTCCGCACTAAGCTCGCCATCAATATGGGCACCCTGGAGGAGTCCGGGGTGACCAGGTTAGCTAAGGAGAGGCGAACCGGGCCAGAGGGGAAACCCAGCAGCCAAAAGTCTCCGTGGCGGGCAGTAGTGGGATCGCGCCCACGAGTGGGACCGCATCTGCAGCCTGGCTGATATGATCCGACACATAACTTTTGCATTTTTTTTCGATTTTTCCATGATTCTGAAGGCCTTTTCTAAGGCATTTTCACAAGATTTAATTTTTTCGAGATACTTTTGTACATATTTTTTAATTATATAACCAACGCCTCTGCCGAAAATACGAACACCAATTTCGAAGTTTTATTCCTTTTTTTAACAATCGTGGATACTGATTAAAACTATCTTTTAGCACTTGAATTTATATATATATATATATATATATATTTCAGTATAAATCTGATTATAAAAAGTTAATAGAACAAATTTTAGAAAGAATATGAAGAGTAGCTTTAGATAGAATAACTTAACCCTATGTTTCATGTTTGTAGTATTTCATTAACATGATTTATGCATATATATTAAACTGATATATAAGTTTTCATTAAGTTTACTTATATTTTAATTCAAAAGTCCATTATACTGTACAGATATTTAATACAAATGTGTTAAATCATAGAATATATACCTAGAACAAAGTTAGATGATTGTAATTACATAAAGGCATTTCTCTCAATCATACTGTTAAGGAAAAGGAGTATATAAGGAGAAGGAGTATATAATATGTAACACATATTTATGGAAAAATTTTTATCCATTGTGTTGTCTTATAAAGAAAATGACGTTCTCATACATTGGTAAGAATAAACTTACTGTGGCAAGGAAAAAATTTATAATATATAATATAAAGATTTGAATTATTTGTAAATTAATTTTTTCTTGATATAATAAGCTTTGCCATCACAATACAGTTTTCGGCTTATTCTTTCTTTTATCTAATATAAAATTCTACGATTTCTGCTTTTCCTTCTTTGCTTGTTCCGCCAATGCTTCTAGTCGATCATGCTCTGCGATTAAAGCATCCACTTCATTTGCTGGTAGTATTTTCGTTTTTGTTTTACCATTTTCGCGTGTTAATATCGCCATTTCCACTGTAAATAAAAAAGAAAGATGTTAACGATTTTGTCACAAGCTATTTTAGAGTATTAAATTTATATTTATAATTTTATCGATTTTTAGAATTACATTAATTCATAGATAAATAAAAATTTACCTTTCTCAGCAGAGAGTTTGTTCATATCTAATGTTTTAGAGAGCACTTTAATAGCCAGCGCCATCGCATCTTTTAGAGTGGTCTCACCCTCTTTATATTCCTGTTTCAAGGACGATACCGCTGCTGCCGAATTATTCCCAATACACGTTGCCTTCCAACCACCATAATTTCCACTAGGATCTGATTGATACAACTGATAGCCATAGTATTTGTCCCATCCCATGTATAAAATAGATACACCGAAAGGTCTCTTCCCACCATATTGGGTGTATGCCTGTTTAACATCACATAACCACGAGACAAGCTGTTCACAGGGTATAGCTTCCCCATACTGAAGAAGATATCTCTGCGCGATGAGACGTAATTCATTTGTTAACACATTCGCATCTGAAGTAATACCAGCCACTGAACAAACTATGTCGTTGTTCAGTTTGTAGATCTTTTCTGAGAAAAACACTTCGTCCAATAACTTGTTGGTATTCCGCTTCTCAGCTACTAATAGAATACCATCGTTTGCTAATATACCCAAACAAGTACCAGCATGACTTATAGCTTCCATAGCATATTCGACTTGATAAAGTCTTCCCTCTGGTGAGAAAATCGTAGTACGCGTGTCATATCTACGTGCCTATAATGTAATAAATATATAATTAACATACTACATATCAACTGAAAGACATTGACTTAACTGAGATTGATTTGTTAAAATTTACATTTTTATTCTACCATGAAATAAACGAATATGAATTCGAAATAGGATTATAAAACTGTTGCAAATTGTAAAAGATTCTTCTAAATTAAATTTTAAGTGTTTAATACATGTTTTTTTTTACTTTATTAAAATTCAGAATTTTGAATAAAATATATGGATTCAATTAAAAAAATTTTACGGTATTAAATATAGTTACAGCAATATTTAACAGCAATCAATAAAATTTACTAATATTTTAAAATGACAATAAATATTAGATTCGATGACAGTGCACTTCCCATATAACCTATGAACGACCAGTACCGAAAGCGCAGATGTGACTTCAAAGCTGAATAGATGTAATATTGAATTAAAGCAAGGCTTATCATCTTACCATTTTGCGGAGACTTTTATGTTGTTAAAATAATTATTAGATATTAAGAAAATGCCGCTTATGAATCTGACACCTCGAGCGAAGAATGATTAGCAACAGATATATTGGTGAAACTCTCGACTCTCTATCTCTATTCGCTTATATTCAAGATTCGAGAGTGGCATCGATAAAACTCGCAACAATATGGAAGATCGATATAAACCTGAAACGAATAATAAGTGTGACTTTTTTTTTTTAATAATGTATACACATTTTCATGTTTTCTTTTTTAACTATTCTATGAAATATTCTCTCTCTCTCTCTCTTATTTCATGAACTATTCAAACGTAGCCATTCAAAATCGATGACTCGAAAATTGATAGTAAAAATATGCAGTAACATAAAATGTTTTCTTTATTTTTGATATATATTTTTCCTCTAATTTTTTTATCACAGCTTGGTTCCTTTTTTTTCTTTTTTGTTTAATCTAAAGATGGGATCTTCTTGATATAAGGAAAAGGGAATTATTTAGATATTCTCTACATTTGAGGATTTCAATGTGATTATGCAAGATAGCATTGTAAAAATATTTATTAATCAGCTTCAAATATAGTTTAAACACATACTTATCTAAATGAATAATTGATTATTAACTTTTAGTTAGCCAAATATGTTAGTATGCAAAAAAATCTATAATGTTTTATAAACAAACTAAATATCTTTTCTTTTCTTTAAAGATTTAGTTAACTCTATAAATTTATTACTCTAAAATATAAAAAAAAATATATAATATGTTCTTCACATCTCGGTTCAAGTTACTAACATGACATCGAGAATGTGTAAGATATATTATTGTCATCATACATAGCATCTAAGAAGTTTTATTTTTTAGTAGAATCGTCACGCAGTTTAAGCTCTTTCAATTGTTTGAGTAATTGCGCACTCTCCTCAGCAGCAGTGTTCTGAATATCTGTCAAATAAGCTAATCGATCATTGAATTGATCAAAGACATCATCCCATTTTAATCCCTTCTCACCTAAATCTCTATCATTTTGACTGATTTTTTTTATCTCTTCTACAGATTCTACTTTTTTGACATCTGAGTTATTCTTTAAGAAAGCCAGAAGTTTATCAGTGACTCGTTCAGATGCTTTAGAAGTACTTTCAATAACACATTCATTTTTTTCTTTTTTTAAATTATTAACACTGAATACTTCGAAAGTTTCATTTAACTGAGTTTTTTTAACTTTTGTCTCATGATTAAAGAATGACAGATTTTTCTTTTCTCCATTAGTGTGCTGAAAATAATCTCGTGCAGATGCTCCCTGAAAATGTATTTATTTATCAAATAATTAAAATTGAAAGTGATTACATGAATATCCTTATAGCATTATTCTTTTACAAATAAGCTCAAACAAATGATTATAAATGTTTTAAAAAGCATATAATGTTTATTACCATATCAGTGCTACACAGAGAATGTTCCAATTGCTGATTAGTGTCATTGCATTCGGGAGCTAATTTATCATATAATGTTTTATAAAATAAATTTTGAAATTCATGAGTTGGTTCAGCTTGAATACTTGCATCAAGATTACCATTTATCTGACTTTTGTCAAAGTCACTATGTGTAGTTAGTGTATCACAAAATATTGCAGGAGTAGTACATGGAGGACGTAATGGTAGTTCTTGTACCTAAAATTATAGCAAAAACAAAAAATATATATAATTATATGTGTAATTGTAATATAATATATTAATTATAATTATAATGTTATTTATTTAGATATATATTCAATTTCTTTGTTTAAAATATAGCTTACCACATCTTTTACTAATGAAGTTGTTCTTGTAGTATTAATCCCTTCCTTAAGATTTGCTATACGCTTTCGTTCGCTATCTCTGAATCTTTTTTTCTCCGATTTTGACAATCCAGGCACGCATCGTATCACTTTTTTATTTGCTGACATTTCCATTGGATTATAAGGTGGAACTTCTGGTTCCTATCAAACAAGTTATATAAATGTATTAACTTATTTAAAGTATATTGATAGAAACTTCTCATAATACAAATTAATTATTGCTATGTTTCATACCTCTTCCCAGTTTTCATCTGACCTTTGTGTATTTATTAAGTCTTCTTCTTGTTTAACATGTCCAGTATCCACATCTATCAATTTTCCAAGACTTGGACATGTTGCAATATGTTCCTACAATATTAAAAAATGTAAAATATAATAACATTAATAAAATAGAAAAAAACAGAAACATTTTTGAAGAATATATGTTGAGTATTTTGAGCAATATAATTTTATATAAAGTAAACAGATAGGTAAACAAGGCAGTAATTTGTATTGTGTGTATATATAGATTTATATATACCTTAAGATGGTCACGATCTACTATATGACGTCTATCCAATGGACATTCTACCTTGTTTTCTGTTCTAGCGCTTTTTTTGCATTTAGCTACATGATTCATAAATCTGTATTGAGCAATGCGATGCGCAGGATTATAGGGACAGGTGACTAAAAGATCTGCTTCCATTTCTGAAATTCAATTTTGAATTATGCAATACTGCTTACTGCAATACCATTAACATAAAATTAATTACTAAATATGAAACTCTAGCAAAAATATGAGACAAAAAAATTTAACCTTTAGAAGATAACCTTTTATGTTGTTGTCGTCGTTATCATTGGAAAACAAAATCTGTTAGTCTTTCAAAGTTTGTATATAGAATATATTTTGACATATTTTTTGTTATATGGAAAGAAATTAATCAGCTGTATATAAATAAACCTATCATGGAACTATCACGAGTTTTATGTTATATGAAAAATTTACAAAAGCTTTTTTAATGTATCAACTTAAATTCAACATGAAATACATATAGTACAACTTGGTAAAAGAAACTAATCACATTTCAAGTTTATAATGCAAACTTTGCAATTAAACAAGGACACAGATCTATATTCTTATTTCAATTATATTGTTAACATAAAATCATATTTCTTCTAATTAAATAAAATCATGTGATAATTATAACGAGAAATAATAGAAATAATGTATATAACAAATAAAACTAATCTGAATAAACAACCAATAAAGTTAAGAGATTTATTCGAATAATGTCCATAAACCTTAATTTTTTTTTATTATTAAAAACCGTTAATTTTAGTAAAATATAAACAACTTGTTCAAAAGTTCGTTATGAGATAAAAATTTAGACACGCTTTATTTGTTAATTCCTGAAGAGACAGTTTATTACAATCATAATATTGTATACTTACTCTTTTACTTAAAATAATATACTTCTTCTACAATTTTAAATGGCACCGATTGGACAAGATAAGATCTAATCTCACTGTCAATAAATGTATCATGTATCTTATTCCTCGATGTGTTTAAATACACACTGTACTTTCTTTATA